TTACAGCTTGTGGAAAGTCTGTGGCAGAGCAAGCTCCTGGTAGGAGCTGCAGCCCATGAGAGGAGTCCATGCAGAAGCAGGTTTTATAGCAGGAACTGTGGCCTGTGGGGGACACACACTGGAGCAGTTTGTTCCTGAAGAACCGTAACTTGTGGAAAGAACCCATGTTGGAGCAGTTTGTGAAGAACTGCAGTCTATGGGAAGTACTCACTTTGGAGAAGTTAATGAAAAACTGTATCATGTGAGAGGGACCTCACACTGCAGTGGGAGAACAGTGTGAGGAGGAAAGAGCAGTACAGATGAAGTGTGATACACTGACCACAAACTCCCAGTCTCTGTTCACCTGTGCTGCTTGGGGCAGAGGAGGTAGGTGGCATGAGTGAGTTGAGCCTCAGAAGAAGCAGAAGGAGGTGGAAAGTGGTTTTGGTTTTGTTTTTATTTCTCAACATCCTACTCTCTTATTAACTGGCAATAAATTAAATTAATATTCCCTAAGTCGAGTTTTGCCCATTACAATAATTGCTGAATGATCTCCCTGTCACTATCTCAACCCACAAGCATTCTCAGCATATTTTTTGTCTCTGTCCTGCTGAGGAAGGAGAGTGAGAGAGCAACTTGGTGGGCACCTGGTGGCCAGTGAAGGTCAACCCACCACACTGACACATAGAGAAAGACTGACATCACTGGCCTTGTCACAATGCCACTCTTCTACAAGGTGACACACAGGATTGCGACTTCAGAGAGGCAGCAGAGGTGTGGAGGGCAAAGCTGCAAGGTCATGTTTAACCAGCCAACGTCCAAAATAAAACCTCTGAACCCACATACACAAGCCATGTGTCATCTGAAATTACATCTGTGTCTTGAAGACAAACAAATTGCTGTAGAACAGAAAGGCCATGGGTGGCTAGAGCGTGAATGGCAAGGGTATATTCTCTCTAAAACTGACAAGGTAAACTGACAAGGTATATTGACCTTTTAAAAGAGACCTGCCAAACTGCTGAAATTTCTCTATCCATCATTCCAGAAGGCCAGAGAAATCTAGACCTATGCTGTAGCGCCCAGAGTTAAAGAGCTATATTTGGTCATTGTAGTCACAAGACAGACAGTGATGGGAGCAAAGAGGCAATGCGGTGGACAAAACTAAGGATGCCCAGCTCTGAAAAATGCCTCTCCCTTGCAAGTTGGAGGGCATGCTTTCTTTTACTGGCCATCCCCACTGGCCAGACATGAATGTAGTTATCATTTTCTCCATTTGTAGTGAGCATTATCACTGGCTGCTCAGGTTTCCCTGAGCTTTGCAGAGCAGAGGGGCGTGCTCTTCTACTGGACAAAGCTGTGAAGATGCTCATTTCCCACTGTCTGCTGGTGCTTCAGCAAGGCCAAGAGCAGCAGAGCACAGGTTTTCTGGGGACAGTGCCTCTCCACAGGGCCACTGGGACTGGAATCTGCTGGAATCCTAGACTCCAGATTCAGCAGCTTTCTATATGAGCCTGCTAGTTAGGGCTAATTAATGCTCTCTGGGGGCACATTCCAGATGGAAGGGGAAAGTGAGAGACAGGCATCTAGACAAGCCGACACTTGAGACATCTGAGCCAGTTGGGCTCTGTGGGCAGAGTGTTCTGCTTGCCACTTTTCCCAGTGAGTCTTGCCTGCCCTGCAGCATCACGACAGGAGAACCTGAGACAGCAAAGCTCTGGTGTCCGTGCAGTTCCCTTGTTGCAATACATTGATCAGAGCTCTCTCAAAGAAAGTGGCCTGGATATCTGAGACACCTATTGATTGGTCCATTGGCTCTCTTCCTGCCCTGATCCTCATTCACTCAGCATTGCCTGAATAACCTGCACTTCTATGTTAGGGGAAGTCTCCCCAGATCTTAAAGGGCTACATTAACAGCTGTTTGCCTAGCTGCAGCCCATGTAGGGAGAGATGTCTGGTGACCTTATATGCAGGCTCCAAGGGGAGAACCTAAGTCCCTCCTGCAGCATCAAGCTGAGCACTTCAAGTATTAGGCAGAACTTGAAGTCATGGCTACTTGTTTTTGCCATCTTTGAGTACTGGTCCCTTCTTCTTGAAGAACAGGCTCATGCCACATGCCCATCAGGCAGGAAATGATATGTACATCAGGTATGGTGAGAATAACCAGGAAAATGAGAAGAAATCAGGAAGCCCTTAATTAGTTACTAATGGAATATCACACTTCTCTTCTTGAACAAAAAAACAGTTCCTTGACCCAGAAACATCCCCACTAAGTTACAAACCCTCTGCCAAGGACATCAAGGAGAAACATGTCAAGAGAAGAACTGGTTTCTAGATCTTGCCTTTAAACAAACAACTGTTTTCCTCCAAACTTGTGATAATCAAGCAGGAGGAAAAACATAGCTTAGCAACCTTCTGCCATGGATGAACCCAGGGATGAAGAGATACACCAAGGGAAAGTTGGAAAGGGAAATACTGAAAGGAAAAAAAAAACATTGCTCAAATATCAAGACACATCTTGTCCTAATGAATACTTGGAGACTGTAGAATAGGCTCTCTGGGGAAACCAAGACACTGGGGATTTTTAAAAACAGTTAAAAGTATTAGAACTGTACAGCTGGGAACACTTGGCACCAGAAAAGGAATGGATGAGCTAATAAGATGACCAATCAGCGACAGAAAAGACTAATGAACCCTTTCTAATCCAAAATCCCTTGTCAATTCTGCATTTTGAGCAAATCAAACAATTGTGGATTTGTTCTTTCTAGAAACTCCTGGCTCTGTGGAGACCAAAGAGTGTAAAACCATTTTTCTCCCTTCTTGGATTTGGCTTTTAAAGATGTGTATTGATTGAATTCTGTATATTAATACCATGTGCTTCCACCAGGCTTCACATAAAGTTAACTAATTGGTCCTCATAATCCTTTTGCAAAGCAAAGCAGTAGGACCCTTGTTTCTCAGCTTGGAATACTGAGCAAAAGAAAGAGAAAAAAAATGCCTGACCAACATCACTTGACCACTCTGTGTTAGGGCAGAGGAGTCCTATTTGCAAATTGCTAGTGTAGTCTCCTCTTGATATAATCATGAGCTCTTGTATCCCATTGATATCAATAAATCTTTATGCTGTATATTCCACAGCACTAAACATTATGGGCAGGATCACAGATACACTAACATCAATAGCAAACCACCCTTCCCCAGAGACTTTAATGATGCCGGATCAATCCCGATATGAATAACTAAATACACTAATAAAAGCAGCCTTGGAGTCAAATTTCAGTTTGCCATGAGTAGTATCCCATAGAGTTCAGGAGTTCATGCACAGCATAGTGTGAGTGAATCTATGCTGTTTTCCAGACTAACTCTGGTCTGGAAGGAGTTAACTGTTTTCCCACAGCTTGAAAGCTAAGACACAAAACCTTCACAGGACCCTGCTTTGAAGAGTGTTGAACTTCCAAAACTGGAAGCAGAAGACACCTTGGCCACACAGTCAGCATGCCAGCACCAGCTCCTGTGACTCTGCTCCAACAGCTGCCAGCCCTGAGACACTCAACTGCTTGGATGCAGGGCAGCATAGATATAGGCAGCCAGCAAGCTTGGACCCATGCTGCTGCTCTGCTGCTCCAGTGACTGGAGCCACTACAGGCCTTTAAGGTTGTTTTATGGGATTCATATGAATAGGCTACAGTGCATTATAAACCTGTGCTCCCACTAAAGCCGGTGTCACTAGTGTGTGTTGGCACGTGGGAAAGGGGATACATCCCCTCCCTGAACTATCACATGAAGAGAAGCAGGTTTTCAGTGGTCCCTCTCTAACTACAAAGCAGGTGCCTCCTTCCCAGCAGTAGATCAAGATCCTCTGAGTCTACCACCTCTACATCTAGGTCAGGGTGGGCCAGACTACACAAGTCTGCATCTCTGGCCCTTGGTAACTGGTGTGCTCTAGAAGGAAGATTTTTAACGACAGAAACTACACATCCATTGAAGAACAAAACTAGTTTAATACCTAATCTACATTCTTTACAACACTGGCTGCCATCAACCTGCCCCTAAAGAAATGAGAGAGCCCTACTGAGAAGGAATACACACTCAAGTGACATCATACAATTCATCACCAGCTGCTATGATGTTATGACCTGGAAGAGAGTTGTGTGCTAGTGTCTTGGCTCCAGCATACAGGACTTCTGCAGTCCACAGCCAGCTGCTGTTCCTTGTGGTTAAGCTGAGGGGACCATGCTCTCCAGGTACAGCAATGCAGGAGGTTACGTGCAATGCTTCTCCTTCCCTTTCCCTTCTCCCCTCATGGCCTTTCCCAGAGGGACCCAAGGGAAACAAAGTTTTAAAGTCAATCTATAAGAATGTGTTTAATTGCCACTGAACTCCCTATGGTTCACCTTGAATGGACAAGGATTGAGGAGGAGGAAAAACAGCACAAGAGAGAAGCTGAATACTGCTCAGAGACCTCTGAACACATCAACAGACTGAGCACGACATAGGTTGAGCATGCAGGGCAGCAATCCACAGCTCCCAGACAAACTTGTGCTATCACCCATCTTCAGAAAGTCTCTTGAGTGGTAATATGGGCAGACCTTCATTGCACAGGGTGCCACAGCTGTGCATTAACTCTGTCCTTCCCTTATGATGTCCAGCCAACCCAGTCATTATCATGAAAGAGCTTCTCCTCCTCAAAAATGAAAAATTACCTGGGGGAAAGAAGAGCAACACCCTCCAGCACAGGGTTAGTTTGGGAAAGGAAACAGTCTGGCACAGCCAGTTTCCAGTTATTTGTCAAATTTGCAAGTAGTAGAAATAATATCCTAGCACAAGGGTGCTGACTAGAACCACTCTCCTCTCTGGACTGCCCTCTTAGTCACTACCCATCCTGACTCTGTTACAAAGCCTGTAAAAAGATTCCTTCAGAAAGCCAGAGTAGGCAAGCATGTAGTTAGCCTCGGAGATCCTGCAAGGCCTGGAGTCCCAGGCACTGTTAGGACAGAGAAAAATTCTCATTCTGACTCTCTTACCTTCTTTTAGCATCCCCACTTTGAGGCATTTCATGAAGCGACAGGCCTGACAGGATTTGCGCCTCCGTTTCGTGATCTCACATTCATTGGTAGCCGGGCAGCTGTATTCAATATTACCTGAAACCAAACACAGAGATGGTCACCCAGGAATCACGTTTTCCCCACTGAACCAGGGACAGGCTGTAGTGCCCAGATATTCCCAACACCATCAGTCTGCGTATGTTGTACGTTTGCTCACTAATTTGCACAGACACATCCTCTGAGACTACAGCCAGCTGACCTATCCAAGGGGCTGATTGCAGTGCTGGGCTTTCAGCCACGTGTCCTCTAGGTATGTCATTGTCCCCTGTGCTGCACCCTTTATAATCTGGCCTGTTCCCTGAAGTCCAGGGCTGAGCATGGGAGCAGTTCAGACATTAGCAGCATATCCTTTGCTGCCAGTCTTGCTCCACGTCTGTGGGACGGATGTCACCTGTCCTTTCTTGCCTCGCTTGGGGAACCAGCATTTTCTCCTTTGCTTCCTCCTGCCAGCAGGTATACTACAGGTAGCAGGGAAGCAGTAGGTCTAGATTGAGAAAGAGATAAGACGTCCTGTAAAATGAACATAGGTTACCTGTGCAAATCTTTACAGTTTTACTTTATTAGTTCTTGTGCACCTGCCTCTCATCCCTTTGCACAGACCATTATTGCTTCTCATTCCCTTTTTGTTTACGATCACGTTGCAACACTGTCTCCAAGATAAAACAGGGAAAGAAACATCCCAAATTTATTTCTAGTCAAATCGTATCGTACTGGAAGCCAAGAATGTAACTGAAACATGGAGCAAGGGTCTGATATGAGGATGTAATTGGAATTATGCTGGATGACAGTGGAAGGTGACAATTATTTAGTACTAGAAGACAACAAAAAAACCAACTGTCTCCATCCTGCCATTCATTTTGAGATGATGTTTCTGAAGAGGGCTATTCAATGTTTGCTGCGGGGATGGACTAGATACTGGTAAATCAGGCAGCACTGAAAAGGGTATCTAAGCTCTACAGTCAATTCAGGAGAATGGAGAAGTTGGTCTGATGATCAAAGGAAGGAAACTGAGATTCAGGAGTTCAATCAGAGCTGTAGGGAGGAATGTAGGTAAGAGCTGAGACAATAACAGTACGAACTTTGTAAAACATCAGATTAGAAGCAGAGTTTACAGTTTGTTAATACTGGGATAGGACTTGATTTTTGTTCCTACTTCTGTAATGGATTTTTATATTCTAGTGCAAGAGCCTTCCCTCTCTAAATAAAGATCAACAATCTGATATATATCAATCTTTGGGTGTGGTGATTAGACCTTGGGGCTAACTAAGATGTTGGAAAGCCCCTTGAAAATCTGAGTGGAAAAGCAGAGCACAGATTCATTAGAAAGAAAGCACTGTTTATTTCAGTATTCTTGGCCCATTCTGGGTGAAACTCCAGGAGCACACAGCCCCTAAAGCCTAGAGGTGATTGGCCTGTTAGTTACAAACATTCTACCTCTTGCTTCTTCTTTTGTCACAAGACTTGCAACTTGACCCTAGGCTCCACCCCAGCCACCCCATTCTTCACCACTACTCATCTACCCCCAAAATACAGTTTGTCTGCAGGAGCACAGTGTGCTGCACAAGTTGCTTCCGTTCAGGCTGTATTTCGTCATTGTGCAGCACCTGAATTTCAATAGCCAGCCACGTATCAACGTTCTCAGAGAGCTGGAAATTGAGATTCAAGCTTGATCTCAAGGTAATAAACAAACTCCTGCTCTAAACACAGAGTTTCAGCACATTACAGACCCATGAGTATGGTGGCCACGATCTCATGATCAGATACTTGCTGTGCCCCACACAGGAAGGAACGCAGCAGGAACAAACCTGGGAAAAAACTCAGAGTCTCACTTTGTTAAAGTTTTACCTTTGTTTCAGTGTTAACCTTTCTCACCAAACCCAGGATGAGAGTTCTAGAGAGACACAAGATTTCATGTTTTGTGGTCCAAAGGCCAAAAATTTGACCCCTTACACAGAGACACTACACCAAGGGCACTGAGCCTTTATAGCAGCTGGAGGCAGTGACAGCCCTCATCTGAAAGCTCAAGGTCCCTCCACAGTGTCAAGAAGATCCCCCAACTTCCCCATGCCTCCAGGCTCTGGTCTCCTTGACAAGCAAAGTACTGGAAAGGGTCTACAAAAAATATATCACAACTAAATGTGACAGTGTCAGAGTATGCGCAGGTAATAGTTACCATACACATGCCGGATGCACACAGCAGTTCTCAAAGGCATTTCTGTACTGGGATCATGACTGTTAAAGGAGCAGAGCCAGAGGATAGTGAGCACTGGGCAAGCACCCCTTCCTGGACAGCAAAGCAGTGGTCACCAGGTAGTGCAGCAGCCCCATAGTCTGTTGGTTAGCACATATGAAAGAATACATTCAGCACTGGTGGGACATCCCATTCAGCACGCTTGTTTGCCTTCACATTTAACACAGGCTCATGTGTCTCTTCCACACACTGTGCCCAGTCTGAGGGAAGAAAGCACCAGCAGCTGTGTCTTACAGTCCTCTCTATAGATGCAAATGCTAGAGGTGAGGCTCACTGTACCCTCTTCACACAAGACAATGCTGCCAAAGCAAATGGCATTTTATGCCAGGCCCAAAAACATACTGTGTGCTGCAAGGACTGAGAGCCACAGCTAGGGGCAATACCTGTCATTATTGCAGGAAGCAGCGACATGACCAGGAGAGGCACAATCAGCATTACCCAAGCAGAACTCAATCACGAAAAACTATCATCTCCAAAAGTTTAACAAAGTTCTCTGACTTTTTTTTTTTTTTTGTGTCTCAATTTCTTTTATGGGTCCTGGGGCTGGCTGCCAGCACAGTGAGCAGCTCACAGCTCCCTGTAATTTCTGTAAGTGCCCTGTGATAAAGTGATGAGATTAACTCATCGAAATTCCAACAACCTCCCAGTGGCTGGCGGTCACACCAGCGGCCCAGCTGCCAGCGCAGGGGGCTCAGAGAGACATTCCCCTTCACTGCCGCAGCTGGGGGTGCTGCAAAGTCCTGCAGAAGAGTGTCAGCATACAAGCGTGCACTTGCAACTCTCTATGCAACAACAGAATTTGAGTCAAGTCTCTGTGTGTAATGAACAGTAGATTATGTGACCCAGAAGGAAAGATCAGAAAAAAACACATAATCTGATAAGCAAGGCCTTGCTTTGAGCTGTTGCTTATTAGAGAGATTTCCTTTACCTAGATAATATTTACATTGATCTGAAAAAAGATGGTAGAACCTCACCAATACCACAGCACAAGATTTACCTAAAAATGCCTTAAAAAAAAATCAAGTGATGAATGACAGGATCACAGTTTGGATTTCTTCACATGTCCCCTCGGAGGGCAAATCACTTCCTCTCTGTCTCCTAGTTTGCTCATCTGCAAAATGATACGAACACCAAACCTACCTTCTGGGAAGATTTTGAGTCTTTATTCATTAAGGTTTAACTGTACTTTAAAGCCTCTAGATGAGAGATACTAAGAAACAGCAGAGGACTATTAAAGTGATAGATCATGTTTTTTATGCTGGAGAACTGCAAAATTACCCTATTTTCCGCAAAATTAGACCTTTGACTGTTAAACAATTTGGAATATCATTTCCCGTGCACACATAATAGGAGTACCTGAAAATTGTACACCAGATCTTGATCATTCAAGAGATCCTATATTCACCCTACTTCTCTGGAATGGGAGGGACTGGGAAGAGGAGAATGCCTGCCTGAGCTTGGGGAGCACAACGAAGTCCTACCCAGCTCCTTCTTAAATTGTGGATAGGGCTCCTCAGGAGAGTTGAATTTGGAATTCGTACAGCACTGAGGGCACAAGCTACTCCCTGCTTCCTGATTCTAACCTTTTAGAAAGCCTTTCCACAAGGAAACTCAGGAAAGACTAGACAGAAATAACCAAGAAAGTCTTTAAAGCTAAATAATTTTCAGCGTCTGATTGCTGAAGAAAACTCATCTCTCTTTTTCTGGTTTCTTCTTCATTGCTATTCACTTAAATTAGCCCATCTAAATGAGGCATCATAGCCCAAGTCCTGATGTGAGGAGAGGTACTTTGTAAAAGTCAGAGGAAAATCTCTCCAATGATCTGTATGAGGTAAGAAAGGTTATTTTTAAGCTCCAGTTTTCAAAGAAAGGAATTCAAATACTGAACCTGTAAAGCTTCATTTAGGAACTTGAATAAGCAACCTGATTTTCAGCAGGGTTGTCCTATGCTTCAAGGGACATGTCCCTGATCTAGGTGCTTGAGTATATACAAACATCAACAGAGGCTCCTATTTTTGGAAAGGAAAAATATCAACACAAAAAAACCCCCCAAACCCCACAAAACAAAAAAACACCCACCCCCCCAACAAAAAAATACTCCAACAAAAACAAAGCTCCCCACAAGTGTTTATCACTTGCAGGAAAATGAGAGCTTGGAAAAGCAGGTGAGATAAGCCCTAGTGCTTGGATTAACCAAAATTTCACTTCATGTGGCTGATAACAGTAAAAAACCCAGAAATGTGAGCACTTGACACTATGAGAGGAAAAGGGAATATGCAGAGGTGTAACAACAGAACTGTTCGCCTCCTCAGGGTGGCACACCTGGCTCCTGCTCCACAAAAGAGGACTTGGACATTTAGTACAACTCAAATAAGCTTCCTGCTTGCACAGGGAAGCAGGACATGGGCCCTGGGGCTCCCTACTGGCAGCAAGTTTGTCTATAGGGTTTCAGACACAGAAATACTTTACAGAAGTTGCACAGAAAAGGTCCTTCTGCACAGAGTTCTCTGTATAGGTGCACTGAGGCAAAGAGAAAACACGAGACCAATAGACCTGAGGTTGCACTGGAGGTGGTTTTTTAAATCTAAGTGCAAGATACAGATCTTGCAGTAAGCAGCAGTCGGGTGCTAGATCATTAAATACTGCACTTTCCCTGGTTAAGCTTCAGAAGCTTTTGGAAAGCTGTGAACTCCCACCTGAAAAGTAGCAGGCACATTTCTGAGAAGGACAGAACAGTGCTTGGCTTCCATGGCTGCTACTGCAGGGACTTAAAACTTCCTTTGTGCATGTAGATGGCAATGTTCTTCTGCTCATGAAAATCTTTCTCAACTGCTGCTCCCTTCCCATGAGCCACTCTAAGCACTGTAACAACAACCAGGAAGCCCTAGAAGACTATGGCTTTTATGACAAGCCTGCTATAAATCCCTAGAAGTCTTCTGAGCTGCATTATCCACGTTTTAAGCCCCTTATTGATGTAAAGGCATACAAACAAGGCAGTTCTGTTGCTACACTCACTGGGTTTGAAGCTTGAAAGACTCAACAGGAAATCCACAGATGCAGGGACTTTGCCTGATACACCACTTGCCTATCCAAAAGATGATGGTAAATGTGTCTCTTCTCTCTGACTCTCCAGTAACCAGTTCTTCCAATGTCACTCCTCGCAAGTCCTGTTGTATCCTTTTGGGTGTGAGTTCCATGCACACAAGGAGATGATTCACAAAGATCAGAAAGAGAAATCTTAATTCAGATTTATTTTGCTGAGCCCTAAGCTTTTATTTTATATTAATGGGTCATTTTAGAAATAGCCTTAATTTTCACCATTTGAAGATGAAAAATAGATGAAGGGTAGTCATAGTCATGAATATGTTGAATAATAAAGGACTCATATGGTTACACAGCACTGCAATCAGTTAATATTCAAAAGAGACAAAACTACCTACTAGTTGTAATGACTGATGAACAAAAAATTATATCTGATTGATACATAATGCTCTATCTACTGAGTAAACTATTCAGAGAAGGAATAGAGTTAGATTAAGAATTTGTACCATGTAAGAAAGCCAGCATTTGCCTTTTACCTAAATTTGGATGAAAGTATTTAGGATTTCCACGGAACAGAAATTCAAAAAGTTTTAATTTAGAAACATCCAAAACAATACCTTTCATGTAATATACCTGTTCCATTACATTCAGCTAATATGAAATTTTTGGTTTCAAATCAGACCTCTCTTGAGCGTCAACAGCAGCACACTTCAACACGCTTGAAATTCAGATTCTCTCCTATCTGCACTACATTCCACATTCCACAATATTCACGGTCAGGTGACGTCCATGACACATGTGAGGACACTTGCGCCATGGAGGTCAATGTAGATTGCCAGTAGAATATAATCTCACGGTGCAATGCAATGATAGAAAAACATGATTTAAATTTTGCCAGGCAGCCTAGCTGACCGAAAATGTGTCAGGTCAGTTCAGAACTTCTGGCTCTGCCTCAAAGCATGGGAAGTCCAGACCTTAGGTTCAAAATAACGTGTTCAGAGAGAAGAGGCCTGCAGCCCAGTGGCATGTTCTGTCATCGTGTTTCAGGTTTTCACTTTTCCATCTCAAGCATTTCCAGTGCTGCAAAGTGGAAATGACACACAGGTTTCCAAACCTTGATCTTTCTTTTGGGCCGTGTTACACAACAGGTGAGAGGTCATAGGTGTGACACCCCCCCATAAACTGTGGGACAGGTTAGGATGTGTTGTGTGATCCTGCCTTTGTTCAGCAAAACCAAACACTCCAATTCATCTTGAACTGAATCAGTGGTTTGGATTTTCCTGCCTTCTTTTCTTTTTTCTATCATTAAAATTTTTCTTGGGGAAATCTGACTTGGTAAAAATTCCGCTTTTCTTTGGAAAAATCCTACTGACAGAAAATTCTCACATAGCAATATTAGTGACCTCAGAGATAACCAGACATGTCCCTGCTAGCGTTTAGCCTATCTTCTCCCCATCATTTGAAAAACAACAGCCCTTGTGTTGTCCAGGACAGGTTGGCCTCATCTGGCTAAGTGGGAAAGTGAGTTGCAGAGATGTCATGCTCAAATAAGGTCTGCAGCTTGAATGCCGCTCTTCCCGCTGCTCTGCTACAGCAGCAGAGGGAGTGAAGAGGCTATTGCAAGATGCTCCTGCCCCAAGATAGGCAGGTTTTACATAAGTTCATGCAACTAAAAGAACGCCATAGGCAGAATGGGGTCATTTGTAGCAGGGGAGCAGGGCTAGTTGGAAGGGCAAACTCATGTGAAGCTTCTCTTTCATGATCAGGGGTATCTAGATAGTGTAATAATTCAGGACAGATTTAGACTCATTTTATGGCAGCATGCATACCTAACATAGGGCCAGCAGAATAAGTACTGTCATAGTATTCATTAGATTTTCATCTGTCAATACTCAAGCACAGAGAAGTGAAGTGGCTGGTCTGAGACCACAAAAGCCTGATGATCAATTTACCTACTGCATCTGGGGAATCCTGGGGTCCTCACTCCATCTCTGTGCTCTAACCATTGAGTCAATGCCACTCCCAGATACCAAATCATGGCAAGTCTTTTGCATTAGCAGGGAATGCAGTGATATAACATACACATCTGCATGCTTTCTGCAATGTTAGGCAGACTGAAGACGTTTTCACTTGGTCTGTTAGATGCTTAACACAGCTACTGAATATAATAAAGCTGCAGGATAAACATCTTTTGTAAATGCTCTTACCACTCGCCTTCTCTTTTACATGATCCTTAAATCCTTTTCCCCGCACACCCAGGGCTATGCTTGGATATCGCATGCACTGCAGCAGAGCCCCAGGAATGGTGCACTTTCTTGACTCAGCCAAACTCTGCAGCCCTATTTGCTGCCGACTCCCGTGGGTTCAGCCTTCAGCTTCATAGTTGAAATTGCTCAACCTCAGGCACAGCACACTTGACTCTCACACTCTTTGGAATAAAAGCATTTTGGTACCTCAGTCACCAGAGCAATCTGATGACAGAGTGAGAGAGATTTCCACTTATTTCTTTCCCCCATCTGTTACACGTTAACAGCCAATCAATTAGGGAACCACAGGGAGAAAGAATATGGCTGTGTTGGGGAGAGAAGGCTGGAAGGAAGCACTCTCCCCTTTTGGGATTAAGTCAGCTGACACATCACTCCGGCTGACACAGGCTCTAGGTACTGTTACCCTGCATCATTTTCTTTTGATTCTCTCTGAAAACTCTTCAAAAGTTCCTAGGTCTTCTCCTCTTTCTCCAGGTCTCTTCTGCTCTCCACAGAGGTGCTCCAGTATTGCTCCCAGGAGGAGTTACTTATCTTGTTTCTTCCTGTATTAGGAGCCCCTAGGACTTTGCTTCAGAGTACTACCCTGTCCCTCCTTTAGCACCTGACTATGCCTAAAAGAAACACTAGGAATGGCTCAAGAGCTGGAGGAGGGATGGAGTCAATGCTGACAGTCAGAAGTGCAAGTAAAAATTCACATTTAATCACAGAGATTAAGCAATGACAAATCACACAAAGCCCTGCCAGAGAACTGGTCAGCGCCCTAAAGATGGCAATGATTTCCACATGGCATAATAAAGAAGAAAGTGTCAGTGGGGAAGAGTGATTATTTCCACAGCTGGATAATAGGAAGGAGAGTCATCTAAAATCTAAGAAACCAAGCTAGAAATAGTGACTTTTGCAGAGACCTGGAATGAACTGCATCCTGGACTGCTCTGTCCACTGCAGAGTTGAACATCCCCAGAAACAGAGTGCAATCAGACCCATTCAATTAACAAAATGAGTGCTCTCTCCACATGTGCATTTCTTTCATTTCACAGGAGACAAGGCAGTACTGGTGTGGTGGATTGACCCCAGCCAACAGCCAAGTACACGCACAGCTGCTTGCTCACAGGACACCTTGTCTCCAGTCAGCCCATCTTAGCTGGGTGAACTCAATACATTTTCCACTGGAAGATGAATGATCCTGTCCTTTTCCCAGTTAGAGAAAGTAGGAAATAAAGGGAGTATCTGTATGTCTAGCCATGTTTGCTCACATGGGGCACGCGTAAGCAAGTACACCCAAGCATCCATGGGTGTTGGACATTACCCGGATGCACTCTTGCTTTTGGCTATATTGTAGCTGTGCATGTGCACATCTGCAAGCACACCTTTGGCAGGCAGGCTGGCAGGCATACCCTTCATATGTGAATTGTACATGCAGGAGCAATGCACTGCAATTCATCTATTCATGCATGCACTGAGGTTTTCAAAATCACCTGAGGCATTTCTCATCCTTCGTAAGACTGACACAAACAGGGTATCTTTGTCTTCTTCAGTGACTAGTTTTTTTATCTTCAAAGAAGATGCATCTTAGTGAAAGCCAGCCAGGCTAGGAACTTGGCAAAAGTTCCTACCACCACATAGCCTAACTTCATGTCCATGTTCATTTGGGAGGACCAGAGCTGATTAGGAGGAGAGAGGAAGCATACGAAAGGATGGAGACTCAGGTACATTACATGCACTCTCCCCTTCCCCCTTTTATGTGACATTGCAGTCTCAGCAATGTCTGGGGCTGTGGCCCTCTACTTCTATGGAGTGAATGCTGCGGTTTCCATTCCTTCCCACCGTACCTTGAATAGTCCTCTTGAAGAAGGCTTTGCATGCCTCACAGGAAGCCACGCCGTAGTGGTACCCAGAAGCAATGTCCCCACACACCAGGCACAGCCGCTTGGGGATTGCATTGAGCATGTACTCGCACTTGGTGGGTGAGTCCTCCATGATGGCGCTGGCACAGTCGTCGTAACGCTTACGGCAGGACCCACCACCAATCCCCGTGCCATTGAACATGGGGGGTGAGTCTAGGCCATTGGAGTGGCCACCCATGGCGATGCCATAGCCACCGCTAGCATCGGAGGAGCCACTCGGGCTGTGGTGGCTGATGGCGTCGATGCCAGAAGACGGGCTGGAGGGCTCGGTCTTGATGAAGGACCCACAGCTGGAGGAGAGGTGCCGCTCCTCCGTGGCCATTCTGCCGAGCAGCCTGCGGGGAGAGAGCAAAGGCACTCAGCGACCTCCTGGCCAAACCCAGCTCCAGGTTAGTCAAAAGAGAGCCCTCTTTTTCCCACCTCAGTTCAACTCCAGTTGGTTCATACAGTTCAACCCCACCCAGGTTCTTCTTCAGGAATATCAGTATAATAGCCCACCTGCTCCCCACAAACTCACATTAGAATAAAGACAAGAATATTCATGTAGATGATATTATCAGACTGTTCACAGGCTGTAGTGCTGGGAAGGGGCATCAGTGCTGATCAGGCACAATCTACCCAGAGCACAGTCTACCCCAGAGACAGCAGAAAGAAATGAGCTTGCCTGTGGCAGGCCAGGTGAAAAAGATGTTCAGAATATGCTTCCCTGGCTTTAAGCAAAAAGTTCAGGAACAGACCCTGCAGAAAGGACCTGCTCAGACTGGATTTTCATTTTTTTTAATCTGTAATACAGAAGTCTTTGATTCATTTTCAAGTTGAATTCCTCCTCTCCCCCCCACTCCACCCTCCACTCTGCAGCACTATCATCACTAAAAGAGAAGCTTAGAAACTAAAGGAAAACAATATGATCAAAAATTTCTTCTGGCTCAATCTTAAATCTTAATCTTTCTTCTATTTACTAGTATTGGGCTTTTGCATAGACATGCAAATTCCCACTTCTTAAAGATGATCTTTAGATTATGATCTAAAGCCTATGGAATCTTTACCAAATTGTTTTAGTTCACAGATAGTCTTATGCCTTATATAAATGTTCAATCTTTTTTTTTTAGAACATTGCTAATTTTTATGATATCTAAAGCCATGAGTTCCAGAGATTACTTGTGCAGTGTACGAACAAGCAAAAATTCCACTTTTAAATTCCACTTAAAATTTTTAATTTTTAATTCCACTTTAAAATTCCACTTATTTGCCTATAGTGTATTTGCAGCCTTTCAGACTCCCTGAACATGTCCTGGCTCTCCTCAGGAAATGTAGTTTTGCCATGTTCTCCTCATTCAGCTCTTCATTATCTATATAATTGCTCTTCATGCAGAAGTTTTTGCAGATCTCTTATCTGCCTCATCATCCATCTCTGAACTTCCTCTAGTCTGGCTATTTCTGTTCAGTCCAGAACAGAGTTCAATGAGCCAGCTCCTCAGCAGCATGACACTGGCACTGCTCCATCACTTCTCCAGCTGAAGGTCTGGACAACAGTCAAGACAAAGGCACGCCATCAATTACGTAGTGATGTTACAATATTTCCAATGTTATTTTCAGCCTATCTATTGTATAACTCCTTCCACTGTTTGCTTTTTCCCCCTCTTTAAATTTAAATCTAAATTGTTACCATTTCTTCAGCAGAGAATATCAGAAGGTTACTTACTGCAATCCTCAGATCTTTTCCTGAGTTGTTGCAGTTAATTTAGAATCCATTAGGATGTACAAAAAATCAAATTATTGCCTTCTGGTGTGCAATGTTTTGCAATAGTCAACAGCATATCTCATCTACCACTGTGCTGTGCAGTCACACACCCAGCTTTATCAAGATCCTCTGGGGTTCTTCAGTCTTTCGTGATAGTTTGATGTCATCTGCAGTCTCATTGTTCACCCACTTTCCAGATCATTAACATATGGATCAAACACCACAACACTGATCTTTGTGGGTGATCCGTGTTAACCTTTATCATGCTGAAAATTGACTTTTCTTTCTTCTCTGGGTAGGGTATGTCTACCCTTTCTTTCTGTCTCTGACACTTTTAATTGATAATAGTACTAACCTGAGAGGTTAAATTTTCCCTTCAGCAAAATAATTTGTCGAAGGCTTTAAGAAAAACTAAACACATGCATTTTTCTGATGACATGGCCAAAGAATTTTGAATGATTAGGGATGCTTCACTTTTCTTTTTGGAAGCTCTGCTGGTTTAAAGTTACCATACCATGGTCATGTGGGTAATTTCTATTTCTATTTCAGTTTCAGCCTATTTACCTGGTATTTGTGGCAACTCCTTCTGCCAAGAGGTCAAAGCCATCAGGAGACAGGATAAAATATTCTGTGAATCAGCAAGGCTGGAGTGCACACATATATATCTCATATCTGTGTGTCTGTTGATAGGAATATAGATGTTTGATATGCAGCAAATTCACAGTTGCATCCTTATGATCTCACTTGACCCAAGTATTCTCCCTTCTCTGTTTCATCCTTAGTGTTTGACCTCATCTCCTATCTCTGGGATCGATCAGCCAAGCTTGTTATTTGGCAAGACTGTTGACCTTGAGAGTATGGGCAGGCATCTCATGTTCCTCGGCTACTTTGCCTGGTGTTACCTGAGAGGAATCCAGAGTTTGGTCCGTCTCAGAGACAGTGTGATGAGTTGATAAATGCCCATGCTCTTGCCTAGAGGGCCACACCGAACTAGAGGTCATGGAGCAGTTACAGGAATAATTGCCTCAGGTGCATTCATCTCTAATCCCGCAGGGCTCCTAGACAGACTACAGAACTTCTAGTGTAATGCCAGCTGACTGTGTGGGCAAAGATGAAGCTTTGCTAACTGAGAGCAGATCTTAGCATCTCATAGCAAAGCTGAAAGCTGCTGTGCTGGCCTTGTTCTGGGGCCTCTCCCTACCTGAGAAGTGCCGTTTTGGTAAAGATATGAAGATCACAGGACACAGCAACATGAGATTAGGGTCAAAATGGAAGGCAAAATGACCATAAAACAGTGTTCGCACTGAGGAACTCCACAGTAAAAGGAGATGGAATCGTAAGGACAACAGTACAAAAAAGGCATGACAAAAAGCTGAGCTGTACTGGCAGATTCCATCAGGAGAATCCAAATCCCACCTTCTGTTTCTTAAATAGCCTAACTTTCATAGATGACCTCAAGAGAACTTACTGAGATATTTCCCTCCAGTGGAGGGGAAAGAAAAAAAAAGAAGGTGTATCAGGCTTCTCAACTCAAAATTTCAATTAAGGAGCCTTCCTTCCCAAGGCATGCAAACAGTGGCTGTTTGATAGTGAATCAGGGATAGTAACAACCCCCCTACATCCTTCCAGCTGAGGACCCTCGTGTTCCCTTCCAGGAGGCAGCAATACATAGGGAGTGCTGGTTAGACTTCAGCCATTTTCTCTTGTGTTTTTCTTTTCTGGCCTCTGACTTTCTGCAAGTCTCATGGAGATCCCGTCCTGATTTTTAAACAGAGTCAGAGTGTCCCCTGGCAATGAGATACATCTTGAACTTCAAGAAGAACAGCTAAATGTTTCTTGCAAAGAGTTCAAAGTGATGAACAGTCATTTTGCTCGGCTCTAGTTACCTTAATAGGAATGTAAAAGGAGAGAGACTTGATCCAACTCTCCTCTGTGCTGGCACAGGAAACTCCGTTACTATTTCTGTGCCCATGTAACAGGCTTAAAGGTTCTAAACATTTCGTTCTTTTCACCTTTCCTCATCATAGGTCATTCCCTCTAATCCCTTTAGCATCTTTGTGGTCCTTCTCTGGATTTGTTCCAACTTGCCTGGGTCTCTCTTGCAGCAAGGTGCCCGAATTGCACAGCGCAATGCCACAGCACTACAGGGGAGAGTCACTCTGGAAAGCACACAGCCGGGCAGACATATGGACCAACTGAGCAGTAGCTTTGCCAGACATCAGGTTGCACATCAGCTCACATCATTTGATAGGTACTGTCTCACCGGGACCTCTCTGAACATAAGCTGCTTTTGCCACTGTGCTCTGCGCAACATGAAATTTGGAGATTCTCCTTGTTCTAAAGTAGATCCAGTATCATCTTTAAACTACATAGTGCTAATTGCCACTTGTTTTACCAAAGCCTGTTCATAACATTCAATTTTTCAGGCTAGCTCTTATTTTTTTCACTCTGATCTTTTTTCTAGTACCTTTCAGTTAAGTTAATTGTAAATTTGAGACTGATTGCTTTACATTTTCCTCCACTAATGAATATTTACAGTCAAAACACTGCTCTTTTGAACACCACCTTTGCAGAAGGATAAAGAATATCTCTAACCCTTCTGTTTACACTCTGTCATTTAATCCATGATTCATTTCACAGGATTTGTATCAAACCCAATTTGATCTAATTTCCCTAATAAGATTTTGCACAGCTTTGTGTCAAAAGCTCATGCATGGTCTAGAGTCAGTCTATTCATTCCATTCCTTTTGCTCGCTAATTATCTAATTGTATCAAGAAAGGTTATTGTCTGCTGTATTCCTGTTTCATAAACCCACTGCTATTTATCACTAACAATGCTGTTAGCCTTTATGTGCTTATGACTGCCCTCAGACAAGCATGGTCTGATCTCAGGGATTCTGGATGTAAATATGAAAGTTTAGACCAAGTTGAGATTGTGCTTTAGGTTTTTATCCATTAGTGTTCTCTCCCTTGGGCAGTGATATTGGGTTAATGTTACAAGTTTCCCCAATTCTTCTCTTTTATTGTTTCTCTACAATGGCTGGTATTTAGCCATTAATGGCTTATGAGTTTAATGCTCTCTAAGAGAGTGAAAGACTGCTAGATGGACAGGACCTGAAAGGGACAAAAGACTAGTGTTTTAAAATTAAGGCAGTAAATATTGGCCCCAATATTTTTTCTTTTAAACTTCAAGGATGACAAGTTTGGAATTGGTGCAGATAAGGCTATTTTACTGCACATCTTTTGAGGTTATTTTTGCCAGAAATACTGATTTGTAACTGCATTCACCTCTTTAACTCCACTTCTGGATATGGAAATTACAATAATTCAGTAGTCCTTATCTACAAGCCTTCACCTGTCTCAAGAAAAAACAAGGCCCACCACTCACACTTGCTTAGCAAGACAGGCAGAACAATATCCAGCTTTGTAACAGAAGGTAACTTCTCCCCACCAGAAGAATTTTCTATCAGCTAAAAGTATCCACAATTCAGTAACTTAATACCATTTGAGCATCTGAGTGCTCATGTAAACCTAAGTCAATGACCCTGTACCTTCTCTATTGCAGCTCTCCATATTCCTAACTGTATCAAAAAA